TGATACTGCCTCGGAAACCCAAGGAGGGGTCGCTATGAGTCGGGGCCGACTCGACGGCAAATAACAACAACAACAAAATGTTAGAATATCAACAATTCTTTTTGGTACAGTGACTCTGTATATTCCTTCCATTTTCTTTTGATGCTTCCTGCATCATTCAATTTTTGCCCATAGAATCCCTCCAGATTGCAATTTGAGGCTTGAATTTTTTTTCTTCAGTTCTTTGAGCTTGAGAAATGCCAAGCGTGTTCTTCCATTTTGGTTTTCTAACTCCAAATCTTTGCACATTTCGTTATGATACTATACTTCAGCCTTCTTGAGCTGGGCTTTGAAATCTTCTATTCAGCTTTTTTATTTCAACATTTCTATTCAAGAGCAAGTTTCAGAGTCTCTTCTTACATTTATTCTGGTCTTTTCTTCCTTTCCTATCTTATTAATGACCTTTTGCTTTCTTCATGTATAATATTCTTGATGTCATCCCACAACTCATCTGGTCTTTGGTCACTGCTGTTCCGTTTGTCAAATCTATTCTTCAGATGGTTTCTAAATTCAGGTGGGATATACTGAAGGTCATATTTTGGCTCTCATGGGCTTATTTTAATATTCTTCAACTTCAACTTAAACTTGCATATGAGCAATTAATGGTCTGTTCCACAGTCGGCTCCTGGCCTTGTTTTGACTGACGATCTTGAGCTTATTCCATTCCACTGCCTTATTCTACAGATTTGGTCAATCTGATTTCTGTGTATTTCATCTGGTGAGGTCCACGTATATAGTTGCCTCTTATGTTGCTGAAAAAATATATTTGCAATGAATAAGTCATTGATCTTACATAATTCTATCACGTGATCGCCAGCATCATTTCTATCACAGAGGCCATATTTTCCATCTACTGGTGATTCTTCTTTGTTTCCAACTTTAACATTCCAATCACCAGTCTTTATCAATACATCTTGGTTGCATGTTTGGTCAATTTTGGATTACGGAAGTTGGGAAAAGTCTTCAATTTCTTCATCTTTTGCTTTGGTGGTGGTTGCATAAATTTGAATATAGTTATATTAACTGGCCTTCCTTGTAGGGATATGGATAGTATCCTATCACTAACAGTATTGTACTTCATGATAGGTCTTGAAATGTTCTTTTTGACAATGAATGCAACACTATTCCTTTTCAATACGTCTTCCTGACATAGTAGACCATATGATTGTCAAAATGGTTAGTACCAGTCCATTTAAGTTCACTAATGCCTAGGATATCGATCTTTATGTGTTCCATTTCATTTTTGACAACTTTCAATTTTCCTACTTTCATACTTCATATATTCCACATTCTGATTATTAATGAATGTTTGCAGCTGTTTCTTCATATTTTGAGTTGTTTGCCATCAGCAAATAAAAGTCCTGAAAGATTTACTCCATTCACATCATTAAGGTCGACTCTACTTTGAGGAGGCAGCTTTTCCCAGTCATATTTTCAATGCCTTCCAACCTGAGGGAATCATCTTCTGTCAGTATGTTGTTGTTGTTATATGCAGTATATCAGACAGTTTTTCATGGCTTTTTGCAAAGTTTTCCTGTAAAATATCAGACACTCTTTCACTGCCATTCATAAGGTTTTCAGTGGCCAATTCTTTCAGAAGTGAGTGGCTACATCCTTCTTTCTGGTCTGTCTTAGTCTGGAAGCTGTGCTTAAATCTGCCCACCATGAATTATCCTGCTGGTATTTGAAATACTGGTGACATAGCCTCTACCCTCACAGCAACACACAAGCCACCACAGTACAACAAAGTAACAGACAAATGGTGGACTAACATATGAGGGAATTAAAAATACCATGGCTTGGGTCAGGTACTTCTTAGTCCTCAAAGTATCATCTCCGCTTTTGAACACTTTAAAGAGGTCTTTTGCAACAGATTTACCCAGTGCAATACATCATTTGATTTCTTGTAAAAGTCTGGGAGAATATGACTTATTATTAGCTATTAAGACTTGCTTATTTTATTAGCTATTAAGTAAGGACACAGCATGGCATTGATGCAGGGATGGATAAATAAACAAATGGAACAAAACAGAGAGCCTAGAAACTGATATATATATATATATATATATATATATATATATATATATATATATATATATATATATATATATATATATATATATATAAACTTACTGTATGACAGGCATTACAAAGGAATGGTGTTCTCAGCAAATGGTGTTAAAGACAGAAGCAATTGACTGTCCTTCCTCATACAACATACATAGAGAAATAAATTCCAAATGAATAAATGATATAAATATGAAAAGCAAAATTTTAAAATATTTAGAAGAAAATAAAATATCTTTAAATGTTAAATTTCTCTATACATATACTACGTAAGTGTACAGTTTTATTTAAATGTATAAATATGATCATATACATACTTTTTTCCCCAGTTTAGTTTTCTTTCTGCCTGTCAGTCTCTTTCTCCCTCCCTCTTCTCCCCACATAATCCTCTCATCCCCTAACCTCTATTCTAATCCATGTCAATAGCATCATATGTGTCCTTCTGTATTTTGCTCATTTAATTATTTACAAATACATACACAGGCACACACTCACAGTTTGATACACATGAAGAATTTTTGGCTAGTTTTTTCAAAATTGAGACCATATTATTTATGGTCTTTTGCATCTTTTGGATATGATCTTGGGACAAGGATGTTTTGAGTTATGCCACCTCATTTTTCAGTGTTTTCCTATTTCTATTTATGTTGTTTCTTCATGTCTTATATCATTTTCTTAATGGAGCTCTGGTATTGTAGTGCCTAAGGCACTTGACTGCTAATCAGAAGGCTGGTGGTTCAAACCCACCAGTCACTCCTCAGAAGGAAGATGGGGCAATCTACTTCCATAGTGATACCGCCTTGGAAACCCAAGGAGGGGTCACTGTGAGTTAGGTCCAACTCAACAGCACATAACAACAACAACAGTGTCTTTTAGCTCCATTTAAAGCAGTATGTGATAGCTGTATGCTTTTTGAGCATACAGGTGTACCTTCATTCTCTATAAGCGTGTTATTTTGCACCTTATTTTCTTTTTTTCTTAGAGGCACTTTGTGTAGGAGTTGACTTTGTATTTCTTGTGTATTCTGAAGTACTTATTTTACATTTTTATTGCTCCTATAAATAGGATCTTTTTTCTAAATAAATAGATAGATTTTTTAGTTGTTATTTTTCTTTTAAAAACAAACTACTGTTCTCTGGATTACTTTTTGTGCTTTGTCTTATTTCTAATTCTAATTGGGCATTGTTGTTTGCTATGTATTTTTAGTATGTTAAGTATCTTATTAGTCAATCTTTGCCTTTAATTCATCAATCAGGATTGCAAGATAATACTTTTTTCCTTTGACTTGTCAATATGGTGAATTGCATTTTCCAATATTGCATTTTTAGGAAGAGCTTCACTTACTCATGATGCATTTTTAATATAACATTATATTCTTTTTGCTCATGTTTTATTTTATTTAGGATTTTTGTATCATCTTAAATAATTAACATTGGTTTTGTAGTTTCCTTTTCTGCCTGCCAATTTTTCCTGATTTTTATGTCTGTATTATGCTTGCTTTATAAAAAGAACTGGAAATCTGTTTCTTAAAGAGTTGAAAGAAACCTAGCTATGCAATCTCTGAGCCTGGCTTTTTTTGTGTGATAGGTCTTTGGCATGCTTGATTTATTTATAATATAACTTTTGAGTTTGCTTTGTACCTTTCCTAATTTTCATGGAAGCATTTATATTCTTGTGTTTTTCTCACTTTAATTATATTGTAAGGATTGTATGGTTTCTAACTTCTTAGAGTATTATATACCTTGGCTTACTGTAGTCTTTAATGTTATCTGTATCACAAGTCCTCTGAAAAGTTAATTTGAGATGTGGTCGAATAAAGTGCTACTTAAGGGAGCTTATTCAATATTGAGGACCAGAAATCATAGCTATGCATATGGTTTTGCCACTTCTGTCACCAGTAGTGCTGAATGAAGGCATGAATGATTACTGGAAAATACTCTAGGGACATGTGTGTTCATCTTCCAGTTGATAAATCCTGCTTCAAGTAACACATCTTAATTACCTTTGGTGGTGAGGAAAGGACATTTCTTCTCTAGTGAAGACCCCCTCCTACCATCACAGGATAAAGAATATGTGTTCTTTTTTCAGACAAAAACATATTTATGTGTAAAACTTACTCAGTTTTCCTCTAATAAGTACAGGCAGTCCTTGACTTACATAAGGGTTCTGTTTTGAAAAAAATTATGTAAGTAAATTTAATGAGGTAGAATCATTTCATAGCAGGAGATGATTTATTCAGGGGCACTATTTAGACAGTAATATGCCAGAGACAATTTATGAGCTTCCCTCATACAATAATTTTCTTATGAATACAAAAAAGCCTTTACTTTGTCAAAAGTGAGTTTTCTAGTTGTATTAGGTCTTTGCTTAGTGGAGGTAAAATGTATTCCTTCTATATAAGAATCAAACTTTTTTTTTTGTTCCTTATAGAAAAGAAAACGAAGAGAGAAAGATGATGATGTTGTAAGCCTTAGCAGCCTTGATCTTAAGGTAAGCCTTACTGCTCTATCAA